CCTCCGTTCCTCTGAGCATAAAATTAGAAAGCTAATTCTTATCTTTCACACAGGGATGTTTTGAGAGTTAATGGGGGGAAAAAACATTTGAAACACCTTTAGGGGATGAAAAAAAACTATAGAAAACATAAAACCAAGATAGTGATTATTTTTTCCTGCCTATGTTTCAACTACGCCATCTTTTTAAACATGAACACAAAGTCAATTGACAAGTGCCTAACTTACAGGAAAACTCTTAAATTTCTCTCAGTGGGCTTACCACTTTATTGGCCTCATAACCCAGTCAGTGCTGTGGAATAAAGGATGAAAAGTTTTGCAAAAATGCCTATTTCAGTTGACTCTGGACCATGTGTAAGATTCTACACGAGTCATTTTAAGAGGTTCTAACACTTACTGCCTGTGACTCTACGTCACCTAACATCTCTGAACCTGTTTTCTTTATCTGTAAAATTAAGATAATCACACCTACCTCACAGTATGCTATGAGAACTAAGTTTGTAAGACAGATTGGCAAACTTCGGGTCTGTGGGCCAAAGCTGGCCTGCCATCTGTTTTTGTGCGGAATACCAATAAAGGTGATTTTTAAATATTTTTAAATAGTTGAAAAAATCAGAAGAATATTTCATGCCATGCAAAAAATATAAACTCAAAATGCAGCATTCACAAATAAAGTTTCATTGGAACATGCTACATTCATTTCTGTGCTGCCTGTGGCTGTGTTCATGCTGTAACAAACACTGAATAGTTTGACAGAGAACATAGGTCTACAAAGCCTAAAATACTTACTGTCTGGTCCTTTATAGAAGTTTGCCAACCCTTGGTCTAATACATAGAAAACACTCAATTACAGTTAGGATTGTGTGTAATCCTCATGACTGTACTGTTACATGGTACTAAGAACATGTCTTCCAGAAGCATGGGTTTAAATTGCCCAGAGTCACAGAGCTAGTGAGTGGAAAAGCCAGTTTGACCCCAATGCCGATTCTCTTTCTAATGTCCTATTATCGAATGTTTAAAAAATATATTAAGTGACCATAATTTTAAATAGTTTAACAGAATTTTACTAAACATACATGTGACTCATCATATGAGTTATTTTATTTAATTTTTTTCTATCTTCAAAGAATCCAGAAACCACCTGATACGTTTTAAATGTTGTAATAACCAGGTTTTTCTGTACATTCCTGTTCCTTGTTAATCTAAAAACAAAACTTTGCATTTCTAGGGACCCAAAACTAAGAGGTAGTCAAGTGTCTTAAAATTATTTATTGAAAAATCACAATACTTAACCATTTTTATGAACACAGAATTCATAGTAATTGTAAACCACTTATTCGATGCATGTTAGTTTTATATTCTGTGTTTGTCACCCCCAGAAGGTAACCTCAGCAACCCTACCTCCTTTACAGTTTTACCTTTAAAAACCAAGTTGCCGCTACCATATAGGAAGTGAAGAGTAGTAAACCTGAGACAAGCAAATACTGTGATCACTCTATCAACTGACTTGAAGATGACCTTACTAACTTTTCAAAATATGATCACCAAAAGTCCACATCCCAACACCTCCCGAGACTGCAGAGGAACCAGCCACATGTCACGGGCGCTGTCACTGCTACAGTGTGCTCTGGAACCTCAGCAGTTTGGTAATTAGTCAACTGAAGTGAATGGACAATATCCAGGAGGAATTTTACTTTTCAGTATTTTCAAATTAATTTTTTCATGGGTCATCTCAGTTTAAATTATTCAGTAGGATGATAAATTGGTAATAAGTATTTTTGGTAATACTGTGAGCAGAGATAAGACACATTACTATAGTACTCAGGATATACTGTGGAAAATTTAACCCAAAGATCCTTTAGTGATTGGCTTGCGTTTACCAGATAGCTATTCAGGGATTTGTTTGGTGCCCCCCTGTGTGTATTGCTCTAGCACTGCTCTAGTACACAGCAGTGGAAGGCGTCCCTGTTCTCACGGGGCTTAGAGTCCAGATGTGGGTGATGAACGTATAATGTGACTCATCATCATTCTGGTTTGCCCAGGTGGATGGTTTCCTGGAATACAAGACTTTCAGTGCTAACACTGGGAAATCAGGCACAAACAGCAAGTGCTAGGGTGGCCAATTTCCCAAAATGGTCCCCAAAGACACCCTATTCGTGCCTTTACGTGGCCCCCTCCTACATTGAATGTGGCTGACCTTTGTTAGTCATGTACCGAATAATGATGTTTTGGTCAAAAATATACCACATATATGGGGGTGGTTGCATAAGATAATAATGGAGCTGAAAAATTTTACAGCCTAGTGACATCGCAATACATTATGTGTTTGTGGCGAGGCTGGTGAAAAGCTGCGCTGCTGGTCATCTAAAAGTACAGCATGTGCAATTATGTACAGTACAATACATAATACTTGATAATAATGAGACTATGTCACTGGTTTATGCACTTACTATACTTTTTGTGAGAGTGTACACTTTCCAATGATAAAAAGTTTGCTGTAAAACATTATCCCGTGTTCTGCCAGCAGCATCCTCATACATCTCCTCTTTACTACATCTTGATTGCATCATTTTTCTCATACGTGATTTAATCTCATGTTGTTTTGAATATTAACCTGCTGTACTGGCTTGTAGCCTAGGAGCAATGGGCTCTATCCTATAGTTTCATTGTGCAGTAGGCCAGGCCATTTGGTTTGGGTAAGTGCACTCTATGATGTTCACATAACAAGACCGCCTATGCATTTTTCAGCATTTTCCCTGCCCATAAACAGCACATGACTGTGATAGCACATTGGGAAAACAACTGTGTGACTTCCCAGGCCAGGTCATCACAAACATTATGGCTTCCACTTTGCTCTTTTTGGAGGAAGCCAATGTCATGAGGATACCCAAGCAGCCCTGTGGAGCAGTCAGCTCTGTGAGGAATGAAAACCTCTTGCTCTCAGCCTGTAAATGAGCCATCTCCCACGGGGATCCTTTAGCCACAGTCAAACCTTCACATGCCTTTGGTCCTGGACTACATGTTCGCGACAATGCCATGACATCCTGAAAAAACCCATATTCCTAATTTACAGAAGCTCAGATCATCAAAGTTTGTTCCCTTAAGCTGCTAAATTTGGGCTAATTTGATAGAATAGTAAATAATACAGTGCTACAGAGAAAAGTTATGCTTAGTAACAACAAGAGTTGGGTACGGAGTAGGCAATATATTTGACAAGAGGGTATGGATAGGTCTTTCTTATAAAGGCACTTGAGCAGAAACCTTGAAGGAAGCAATCCAGCAAAAGAATGTTCCAAACAGAGTTTAAAGGGTTTCTAAGACTTAGTACCAACAAAAGATGTTGGCTTATTCTTGTCAGAGGAACAAGTTTCAATGTCACCTAAGTGGAGTGAGCAGAGTGGGAAACGGGCTATAGCGGGAGGGCAGAAGTAGGGGAAACAGTGCAAATCACATAGTGCCTCCTGGAGTAAAAAGTTGCTCATTCCATGCAAGCTGCTATAACAAAATACCACATACCGGGTGTCTTACAAGCAACAAGTTTATTTCTCACAGTTCTGGAGGCTGGAAGTCCATGGTCAGGGTGCCAGCATGGTCTGGTGAGGGCTGTCTTTCTGGTCACAGACTGTATTCTCTCCTAGGTATCTTAGGAAAAAGCACTAATCCTATCATGAAGGCTCTGCCCTGAGGACCTAATCACCTCCCAAGCCCCAGCACCCCTGCAACACCGCCACCTTGGGCATTAGGTGTTACTTCAACATAGGAATTTGGGGATGGAGGGAGGCACAAAGGTTCAGATCATAGTGGTAAGATGCTTGAATTTCATTCTGAGTCAAGGGAAGCCACTGAAGCGTTTTGAGTAAGAAGGGCAACATTGCCTTGACCTAGATTTTTGTAAACATCTCTATCTTCTTTGGTGTTAAGGGCCACTTGGATTCTGAACATGTGATCTTCAGCCTGGAACTGTGATGGCTGGTATGTTTAGGCTGTGCAGATGAGTCCAAGCACCCCTTAAGTCCCTAACATTCATGTTTCCTACAGAACTGCGCTGCTACGTCCGAGGGAGAGTTAACTGAGAACACGAAATGAGGCTAGTCCGAATGAAGAAGAGCTGCTAATTGTAATATACAAGCTGGAGTTCCAAGGTTTAGTACCAACAAACGAATGTAAAATTTCATTAAATCTTTTGGATGATTACATGTTGAAATAATAACATTTTGGATATACTGAGTTAAATAAAACATATCAACCTTACCTCCTTTATTTCTTTTTAAAATCGTGGCCACTATTCGATTTAATATGGCATATGTGGCTTGGACTAGATTTCTGTTAGGCAGCGATTTGGCTGGCTTTTTACTCCTAGTTGGCATTTTTTCATTGGTGACTTTCGCCTGCACTTTTCCCTTGATGCGCCGCCTGAGAGTCTGGGCTTAGGCCTCGGCTCTCGGTTTTCCTGTGCATTCCCTCAGCCTCAGGCCTGAGTGTCCCGGGTCTCTGGACTTGAGCCGGCGGGCGAGGGCTCCAGGTGGGCAGATCCGCGGGCTGGCAACCCTCGCTTTTATGACACCAATTCACCAGGAGGCAGAGGCGCAGCGGGTGGTCCTCGGAAAAGCCCCGACCGTCGCGGGGACGTCAGAACCACTCTTAGGGGCCTCCCAGGCCCGGGAGACGCCCCAGCCGCCCCACTTCCCCTTCTGTCGCAGCGATCGTATAAACCACCTGACGTCTCTCCCAAAATCAAGAGAAGGTAAAATCTCTGATGCCTCAAATCATCACTCACCTTAAAGATCTCAATCAAAACTCAGCTCTGAACACACAATCAATACCCAGGTTGATCCAATCAACTCCGGCCTTAGGTAGAGTAGGCAGGGCATGGGTGGCCAATGGCACCTCTTGCCTTTCCCAGCTCCTCATTGGAAGAGATGCGGGTCGAGAGGAGGGACTTCCTATCCAGCTGGGAATGACTTCCCTCTTGTACGGTCTCCGCCCTCGGATTCACTCCGGAAGTCAACTCTACCTCTGGGTCGGCAGTGGAGCGAGTTAAGGTTTGAGCGTCTCCTGGGGTCAGGACGCTGATCACTGAATTTCTGCCTCTGTCGCCTCTTATTTTCCTGCCTGAGGATGGCGACGTACACCTGTATCACCTGCCGGGTGGCGTTCGAAGACCCGGAGATGCAGCGGGCTCACTACAAAACGGATTGGCACCGCTACAACTTGAAGCGAAAAGTGGCCGACATGGCCCCGGTCACTGCTGAGGGCTTCCAGGAGCGCGTGCGGGCCCAGCGGGCCGTGGCGGAGCAGGAGAGCAAGGGCACGGCCACCTACTGCACCGTCTGCAGTAAGAAGTTCGCCTGTTTGAACGCCTACGAAAACCACCTCAAGTCCCGGCGGCATGTGGAACTGGAGAGGAAGGCGGTGAATCGCAAGGTGGAGATGATGAATGAGAAGAACTTGGAGAAAGGGTTGGGCTTGGACAGTGTGGACAAGGATGCCATGAACGCGGCCATTCAGCAAGTCATCAAGGCTCAGCCATCTCCCAAGAAAGGCCCCATTGCGCCTAATAAAGAGTCCGGGAGTCCCGTGGCGGCGGCCGATGGAGGACGTGTGACTAACGACCGAGACCCAGCGGAGAAACCTCCCCGGTTGCAGTGGTTTGAACGGCAGGCGAAGAAGCTGGCGAAGCAGCAGGGGGAGGAGGGGAGTGAGGAAGAAGACCTGGATGGAGACGGTGAGGGCCCTGGGGCGGAGCGTGGGCGAGGGATGTAGGAAGTTGGTCCCCTTTGGTGTCCACGTGGATACTCAGGGTTGAATTCCGATTTTAAGTGGAAGTTGTAGGGGAGGTTTCTCTGGTTTCTGAAGTCGCTTGTCTGCGCAGTATCTTTGCGGGGATTTTGTTTCCTTCACTGTCGGAGATTCAGGGCCTGAAACCTTCCTTGGAGGAAAATAGGTCCTGAATAAACACTGGTAGAATGAGTTGATGCCTTCTCTGTTTTGAATTAGGAGGCTTTTTTTTTTTTAAACATATGCCTAGAAGGGCATGCTGTAATTCTCTTGGGTTTCTAGTTATGGTTTCACACTTAATTTAGTTGACTGAAGCAATCAAATGAGGGGTTCAGAATCAGCTAGCTGAAATGAGGAGCTAGAGCCAGCAATCTGGCCTTCTTGACTTTTGAGTTATTTATTCCTTCTCTCCCTCCCTCATCACACATCCTATTGGCACTGATGGTGTGTGTACATATAGCAGGAAGGAGGCAAAGACTCCTTCAGGAGCTTACTGTGGGCTGGGAAAGAAAGATTAAGGTTTTTCTTAGCCATACAAATTGGTCTGTGGTAAAGGAATAGTTAAAATTGAGACCTTGAAAGAGGACTTGTCCTAGGAGGTAAATTAGCACTCTCACCCGGAACTACCACCTCATGTTTGTGGATCTGTGTGGGTTCTTGATTGCGATGACCACTTTGCTTAAACTAACCTTGTTTTTCAAATGTCTGGTTTGAAGATTGGGAAGATCTTGATTCTGATGAAGAACTGGAAGGTGAGGATGCTGAATCCATGGACGAGTTGGAGGAGCAGGATGCAGAGGAGAAAGAGGCCGGAGGAAGTGCCCCTCTTGGTGCCATCTCTATAAAGGACTGCTTATTTTGTCCCCATCATTCAAGCTCCCTCATGAAGAATGTGGCTCACATGACTAAAATCCATAGCTTCTTTATTCCCGATATAGAGTATCTTTCAGATCTTAAAGGACTGATTCGGTATTTGGGTAAGTACAGTAGCTTTTCTTTAATGAGGAAAGAGCATATTATTGGGGGGCAGGTCTCAAGGAAACCTTAGTTTTATGTTTCTTATCAATCTTTGATTTTAATTACATGTTTATTTTGTGAAGATAGAAACTTGATGCATCTTTTTTGAATCATGCAGATACATGGTGAGATTTAATCTGGCTGCAAAAGCTTTTTTCATATTTTTTTCTTCAAATTATTTTTCCAGGAGAGAAGGTTGGTGTCGGGAAGATTTGCTTGTGGTGCAATGAGAAAGGGAAGTCCTTCTACTCCACAGAAGCTGTACAAGCGCATATGAATGACAAAAGCCACTGTAAGCTCTTCACAGATGGTGATGCTGTTTTGGAGTTTGCAGACTTCTATGACTTCAGGTGAGTCTACGGTTTGTAATGTGAAGTGAAGTGAAGTCGTCGTCTTTGCATTGAAGTGACATTAGATGTGCCAGTGCCTGATACGTGTCTGGCACTGTGCAGTATGTTCTTTATAACTCTTACAGCACTTATATATGGGTGGTTATTCCCTCTCCTTGTGTAGATAAGAAACTGAGTTACACACACACACACATGATAAAGAAATCTGATAAGGAGTAGATCTCAGGCTCCACACTGAAATTTGTCTGACTTGAAAACAAGGGGGCTTTTTGGCAGTTTAATGGCCAGTAGTTCGGTTTTGCCAGTTAACCTTAAGAACAGAGACACAGGAATTAGGTTTTGGTTTCCCTAAAACAGTGTCCTTGAAGCAGAAGCTGTCTCCTAGGGGGTTGAGGTGGTTGCCGAATTACGCTGGTCCCAGGCATTTGATGGTGAGATTATCCCATAGGGATTCGCTCTTTACTAGGAACTTGTATTATTGATATATCATGCACCAAATCTATGCTTGGCACTCTTGAACAGCTAATTGCTAGTGTCGAGATGCCTGTGACCTAGCACAGGTGTGCTATACAGGTGTATATAATTACCATGCCACATGTGCATAATCCATGTGATACAAGTGTTCAGAAAATTCCTCATCTTTTTAGTTGTCCTTTTTCATGTTCCTCCTCATTTCTCTTGTAGTAAGGGAGAGTTCTTCATTTTTGTTACTTTGGTGACTATGTAGTGGCATCCGATTGTGCTTTTAATTTGCGTTTTCCTGATGATGACCACTGTAGATGAGAACCTTTTGTATATTAGCCATTTAGATATCCCCTGTGAAGTGTTTGGTCAGGTCTTTTGTCTGTTTTCCTTTTGGGTTACCTGTTTCCTGTTAACATTTTATGTGTATCTGTCCAATTATTTTCTATATATTTAATGTGGACATTTCCAGGAACATAGACATTCCAGACCTACAATGTCCAATATGGCAATTACTAGGTATATTCATGTGGCTATTTAAGTTAATTAGAAATTAAGTTATAAATTTAAAAATTTAGTTCTTCACTTGCACAACTGCATGTCAAAGCTCAGTGCTTAAAAGCACATAGATTAGTAGCTGCCATTTTGGCCATGCAAACAATGTCTGTATCACAGTGTTCTATTGGACAGCACTGTTCTAGAGCCTTAAAAATTTTGTTTTAATTTTTTGGTTACTGTTGACGTAAAATACTATGTTTCAGCTTTACAGGGTAGTGATTAGACATATATATAACTTACGAGGAGATCACCCTAAGAAGTCTCGTACTCATCAGACACCATGTGTAGTTATTACAATATTATTGACTGTATTCCCTATGCTGTACTTTATGTCTCCAGGACGGTTCCTCCCCACCCCCATTTCCCCCTTCTCCTCAGACCCACTCCCATCTGGCAACCATCGAGCTTCTTATTATAATGGGTAAATTGATGAGAACTGTATCTCCAGCTCTGCCTTTTCTTCCTTTCTGACTGCTTTCCTAGAGAGAAACAAATAGGTAAAAAAAATTTCACTTTTAGGTCATTTGTTCATTCTTTTTTAGTACAATTTTAGGTTCATAGCAAAATTGAGCAACAGGTACAGAGATTTTTCCATGTACCCCTTGCCCCCACATACCTACATGGCCTCCCCCATTATCAGCATCTTCTACTAGATGTCCATTTGCTACAGTTGATGGACCTACACTGACTCATTATTATCCAACTCCACAGTTTGCGTTGGACTTCACTCTTGGTGTTGTTTGTTGGACAGATGTGTAATGACATGTACCCATCATTAGAATGTCATACAGAGTTGTTTCACTGCCCTAAAAATCCTATATGTTCCCTCCCTTTACTGTAAACCCTGGAAACCACCAGTCTTTATGTTCTCCGTAGATTTGCTTTTTCCATAACTTCATGTCATTTGAATCATACAGTATGTGGCCTTTTGAGACTGGCTTCTTTCACTTAGTAATATGCATTTAAGTTTCCTCCATGTCTTTATGGCTTGACAGCTCCTTTCTTTTTGGTCTGAATAGTATTCCATTGTCTGTATATATCACCATCTATCCATTCACCTAGTGAAGAACATTTTGGTTACTTCTAAGTTTCAGCAATTATGAATGAAGCTGCTATAAATATCTATGTGCAGGATTTTGTGTTGACAGTAGTTCTTAGCTCCTTCGGGAATATACCAAGCAGCAAGATTTCTGGACCATATGGTAAATGAATGACCATGTATCATTAGCTTTGTAAGAAACTGCCACACTGTCTGTCGTCCAGAGCGGATTTACCATACCATTTTTCATTCCTCCCAGCAATGAAGGAGACTTTCTGTCAGTCCACAGCCTCATCAGCATTGGTGTTAGTGTTCTGGATTTTGGCCACATTTAAACAATTCATTGTTTTAACTTGCATTTCCCTGGTACTATGATGTGGAGCATCTTTTTACAAGCTTATTTGCCAGCTGTATGTCTTAAGAAGTGAAGTGTCTGTAGGTCTTTGGCCCATTTTTTAGTTGCATATTTGTTTTCCTATCGTTGAATTTTTAAGATTTTTAAAAATATTTTTGATAACAGTATTTTATCAGATGTGTTCTGAAAAATTTTCTTTTGTCTGTGGCTTATATTTTAATATTCTTGACATTATTTTCCACAGAGTAGACGTTTTTAATTTTAACATAGTCCAGTTTATCAACTGTTTTCTTTCATGGATATCATGCCTTTGTTGTGGAACCTATAAAGTCATCACCACACCCCAGGCTGTCTAGATTTTTCCCATGTTATCTTCTAGGCGTTTTTATAGTTTTGTGTTTTTCGTTTAGTTCTGTGATCTGTTTTGAATTCACAAGTCATTTGCACACTTTTACTTCAGAGAAAATGCTAAAAAGTTGGTTGCCCTCAAACCTTTCAGCTCACACACCCTACAGTCTCCTTCACCCCTTTGGGTAGCTAGTGGGTTTGCCACACTTGCAAATACAATTTGTTCTTTAGTTAAATTTGAGGTATCGGCCTATTTATTAATGCTTTTCACTGTGTTCCAGGAGTAGCTACCCAGACCATAAAGAAGGGGAGGATCCTGATGAGGCTGAGGTGTTGCCCTCAGAAAACACCTTGGTTTATGATGATGAAACCATGGAGCTGATTCTACCTTCTGGTAGGTGCACTTGTCAAAAATAAATAGCTGAATGCCAGTGAGACTATCGGAGAGGCATTTTTCCATACTGAGGGAAAAAGAACATAAAACTTAAAATGTGCGTTTGTGTTCTCAGGTATGCGATACCCTCTGAAGGTTGCCTCTTAGCTCCGTGTTGGCTGTTTTGTTTAAATTGGTTCACTATTTTTTGTTCTCAAATATGTAGACCTGTTCTATTCCATTTATCAATTTTTTGTGCCTCACTAACGTTTTTCTTGTTAATCTTGACATTACTTTTATTCTTTGAACTGACTCCTATTTCCTTGTATTGCTCAGACTTCCAAATTGAAGGTCGGACACGGAGTGTACCTATCTGCTTGACAGCACCCAGATTGCCTGTTTCTGATTCTAGTGGGGAGGGTTAGAGTTTGAGTTCTGAGGGGTAGAGTTTGAGTACTGTGGGAACAGTATTTGCAGTGGTGGGAATTTAACCGAGGTGCGTAAGGATGGTGGAAAGGCCTGAATACGAGAGGCACCCCTATTGACAGTGTGACGATTAGCTGATGAGAAGAGGAGAAACTACTGGAGAAACGTGAGAAAGAGAAGGGAATGGTAGAGGTAATAAGATGCTAAAAATACCTGGCATTTCCTGAGCAGTTAGCATGTTCAGACAGATGTATTATTTTGTTTTTACAACAAGCCTGAGGGACTTGGACCATATTTACCTGCAGTACTGGGAACAGGTTGCTTTGCCTCAGCATCATTAAGTAGTGAAAGAGAGGGGCAGGAGGTGGGCTGAGAGTTCGATATCCCTGGTTTTTAAAGCCTGGGTTTCCTTGCTCACAGCTGCAGGTCACCTACTGAGCTATGTTATTGGAAAGTATTGGCTATTAAACCTCAGGACAGCTACATGACGTAGGCTTAGAAGTGGTAACATAACTGGTTTGATGTTAAGAGTGCTGCAACATATACTCTTAGACGGACTTAGGAAAGACCTATCTAGTAGCCAGGTACTACTACCTTATCCCAAAGGTTCTTAACTAAGCCATACGTGTGTTTTTTATCCCTCCCCCCCACCCCAGGGCATGGATGTTAGAATGAAGCTAATTTGAGAGGGATTCTAATGTGTAGAGCTTAGTGCTATTTTACCCCCACAGTTCATAGATTTGACTTTAATCTGGCTTCAAAAACAGTAGTTGTGATACCTTAAATCTAGGCCTTCAGATCAAGTGGCTGATCCCAGAACCAGTGACAAAGAGCATCCAGTAGAGGGCACTGTGAGCATTATTTTGGAAACTGGTCTGGCTCCGTTGCTTGAAGTCTTTGCTTTTTAGTTCCTGTGGAGTGAGTTGGTTTGAAAAACACATCTAGTGAGCTGCTGACTAGCCAGGTGAGACTGTTGGTTGATCCACAAGAGATGCATAGGTAACCCTAGGAAAATTACAGCTGGGGATATTTTTCTACTATCCATTGTCACTGATTGTGAAGCTGTTTGTTAAGTAGGCGTGGGCAGTTCTGTGAGTGGTTATTGCTGTGGTGACAGATAGATGGACCGGTTGTGACTTCATCATAACTCACCATATACTCAATGTGATAGTGAGTATAACCCATCTGTTATGTATTGGGCAGGCACTGTGTGTTCTCAAGATAATTTTCCTTGAGGAGCCTTCAAGTTGAGCTGTTCTCAGCACATTACACTTAGTGCTTAATGTCATGTGCTCACTGTCCTTGACACAGGGCAGGGGTGGCTCTAAACACTCTGGGTTTACATTTCTCCTGCTGCATGTTGGACACCTTGGCACTGAGTAATGAAACCTTTTCAAGGCTGTTTTAAAAAGTCACTTCAATAAAGATGTGTTTCCAAATGCTGCTTAAGAATATAAGTGTATTGATGCATTATGTACTAGTGACCAGCATTGTCATTTAACGATTCTGGGGTAGTCATCGTTAACAAACCTGGAGCATTCTGACCCAACATTGTACACAGAGAATCGGTGAACAGTGCTGGGGTTCCTGCTAGAGTCTTCGTGTGTGCTGGGTCTGTACCCCTCAGCAGTGCCTCACTTTTTGTGGTCTCGGGGGTTTGGCAACTCTTAAGCTGCCAAAACAGTCGGGTTCAGGGAAACGTGTTCTCACCCATGTTGGTATTCAAAGGCCATGTTCTTTGGTTTGGATGTTTCTTCTTGTCGTCCCTTGAGTCTGATGACAAAGCAATCAGTCGGAAGTAACTACTTTGCCATACCTGTGTAGCAGATAAACTGCTCTCAGGTAGCTTTCCAGGTAGATGAACTTAAAACAAAATAGCCTACCTGACAGAATGTTTTTTCATGTAAATTAAAGGTCTAGATTCTAAAAGCAAATACAGCCATTGCCATATTTATAGTATCTTGTTCATGGTCTTTCTACACAGGATTCTGAAAGAAATGGTTTTATATGTGTGAATTTCAAACTTTTATATATAAAGATATCAAACTTTCCTAGAAGCTGTCCACCTATGGCTAGGTTATCTAGCCATATTTCCTTTTTTCATTTTCAGTGGAAGTAGCTGTTTTATGCCTTGTGTATATGCTGTTGGTAAATTTCTTCATGTTTATGTCTGTCTGGAAAAGTGTTTCATTGCTTATTTCCTGATTAATATTCTTGTGAAAACACAACTTGTATTGAGCAGCTCTCAGGTGATGCTGATACCATTGGCCCAGGACCATGATTTGAGAGCCGCTGCTCTGATGGAGCCTGGAGGTAGTCATCACAGAGGCCGGCCCCCTTCCCTTTCACCTGCTGTGAAGCTAAAGTATAGGGGTCAGCACACCTTTCCTGTAAAGAATCAGATAGTCAATAGAAATTCACCTCTGAAAGTGTGAGTGACTCGCATAGTTCTATCAAACCCTTCTAAATAAGCAAAAGCTGTAGAGAGAATACAACTTAATCATCTTTTAAAATCCTAGTTCACCTGATAACTAGGTGAACTAGGCTTTTCCCATTACGTAGAAAGCACTAGGGCGTTGTTTCTCAACCCAGGTATTATCAACAGTTTGGGCTAAGTAAGTCTTTGACGTGGAAGGTTATTCAGTGCATTGCAGGACGCGTGGCTATGTCCCTGACCTCTATCCACTAGATGCCTTGTCTGCCCTCTAGCTGTAACAACCAAAATTGTTGCTGGTCCTTGCCAAGGTCCCTCAGGGTAAAATCACCCTGGTTTAAGAATCACTGTTAAAGAGGATTTAAGCGAAGGAAAGGTGGACTGATTTCTGTTCTAGACTCAGACTGTGGCTTTTTGTAAGCCTAAACATCAAGATTGTCCTCTGTACTTAAATCTTCTTTCTATTCAAATAAAAAAAGGTTAAGATCCCTTACCCTCTAGGGTACTATTATCTGTGTTAGTAGCTGTTGCTGTGTGAGTTCTAGGGAGGCATATTGTATGAAAATACAAGATACTCAGCTTTTCACTTAAAAGTGACTCACCATTCTCTTTTAAAAATCTGTTTTTGTTTGTTTTTTCATTTTTTAATAAGCTGCTTCATCTTTTTTTCAGCAGATAGAACATATGTTACTCTGGCATACCCATTTTCCAGCTTGATACCTGTAAAGTCCAATTGGGAAAGCTCTTGCTTTATAGCTCTGTCTTGGAAAACCATCTGACTCAGTGGTTGAACATTGTTCTTTTGAAAAACAGGTGCCAGAGTGGGTCATCGGTCCTTGATGAGATACTACAAACAACGGTTTGGCTTGTCGAGAACTGTGGCAGTTGCCAAGAATCAAAAGGCTGTGGGCCGGGTCCTGCAGCAGTACAGAGCCCTGGGATGGACCGGCAGCACAGGTGTGTCGGTGTGGATGGTTGTGGACCAGCCCACGAACTCATTTTACAGCCATAGGCTGGCGTGAGGTCACTTCCATTTATGTTGTCTTTGTGGAACGTAACCTCTTAGCTCTTTGGCTTCCTTTACCACTTGATATGTTTATGGCAGTTAGCCCAAAGTTCTGTGACTTAAAAAGTTTATATTCCTGCCATGGTAACTTCCTAAAACTGTTATACACCATTAACTTTTTCAGAAGATAACAATTCCCCGAAAAGTATTTAGTAATCATCAAAGTTTGGAATTGTCCTGGAGGTTACACAGAAGAACTAAATAGTATCCTTGTGGCAAATAGCTTGAGTTGTGGAGTGAAACATGACCTATCTGATAAACTTGTGAGTTCTTGAATGATGAGTGTAATTTAAGTCACTCACACCTCTTTTTCCTCATTTGTAAGATGGTGATAATAATAAAAGGACCTACCTCATAGAGTTGGGCAGAATGAATATCATAGAGCATGTGTGATACAGTTTGTGCACGCAGTCAAGGCTAGCTGTCACTCCTTTTTGTAACTTTCCTTAGAAAATTTAGTGAGAGCCAGAGGAATAAAGCAGGCTGCTGAAAGTGTTAGTCTTTGACACGTCACCATTGTGCAGTTATTTAAAGCTATTCTGATGTGTCTGCTCTATGAAGCTCCGTCCTTAGCTCTCCTGGGAAAGCATCGGTCCATTAGAGGACGTGGAGACGATAAGAAGAGAGCTCTTTTTTAATAGCCTGGAAAGCCATGTCCAACTAAAATCCATTTTCAATGCCACTGTGTTTAAACACACTTGGTTTCCTTTTCTATGGCTACTGGTGAGCTTTTACTGTTAGGTCAGAACAGATGAAGTACAGGGAGAACTAGCAGCAAAAAGGCTCTGTCATGCAATCTGGCTTCTGCTGGCCCTCAGGCAAGGAGGGTGCCTGTGCTGCAGACAATGACTCAATCATCTGTAGACCCTTAGAACATCACTTGGGCCCTAAAGTGCACCTGCTTGGTGGCATTGTGACCTGCGGCCACTTAAATCTAGCAGATAGTGACTTTAATCTTACATGTCTTGATGGTATAACTTAGTTTATAGTCTCTGCTTTTTTTCTCTGTGCCCTTAGATAAATAAGACTTTACCTTTGAGCTTATAGACCCTTTCCAGATGATGAAATATAAAGAGGGTCGTCACAGAGGAGAGTATAGAGAGACAGAGTAGTTCTGGTATGCAATTCCAGGTACTCATAAACCCCATGGAGATCCCAAGTTAGTAGATTTCCTTTAAATATGAGATCCCTCAACTAAGTTTGAGATTCTCTGCAAAAATTGGGTTTTCTCTGATCACAAATAACAGACATTTGCCTCATTTTTTACCTCCTTTCCAACCACAGGAGCAGCTCTTATGAACAAGCGGGACATGCAGTATGTTCAAAGAATGAAGTCAAAATGGTTGCTGAAGACGGCGATGAAGAACAACGCCACCAAGCAGATGCACTTTAGGCCCCAGGTGATGTTCTGAGGGTCTGCCACTGACTGAGTTGTCGTCTCCACACGGGTGCCGGCCTTGCCTGCGGACCAGCGGAGCCACACCGTATGACGGAGCCTGTATGCTGCTAAACTTCTCCCCGTATTTCATCTGTTCTGACCTAATAATAAAAGGCAGAATCGTATTGGCTTTCAAATGTCATTTCTGTACAGGGTTTAAAGGTTTTATTTACACAGTGAATGGCGTGTCTACTGGACTCAGCTTGCATTACTGCTAGGCGGTGTCTTTACTGTCTCAGCTTTTATCTGATTTATGGCCGTCAGGATAATGTGGGAGCTCAAGAGTGACTTATTTGTTCCAAAGTTTAACCTGCAGAAGAATACCTTACCAGAACCTGACACTGGAACCCCTATGTAAGGGGACTCATTTCAGCATCACTCATTTGAATGTATAGTGGCTCGTGAGGCCGTGAGGGTCTCTGTGCACGTTTATTACACCCCAGCAGAGTTCAAGAGCATGTGAGAGGCTTGCTGTAAGGCTGCTCATTTCTAAACGTGGACACACAGGAATGACAGTGCAGTCAGTGCACTTGGCTTCCCGTGCTGCTGTTCCCTGAGCGGCTAGTTCAGGAAGGAAATAAACATAAAAGGTTTAGATCCCATTTTAAAAACAAATTGCCTCGGTGAAATCTACAAAGAGATTCTCAGTTTAGGTGGTTGAGAGGAAACAGTGACATACTGGAAATGAAACATGAAGTTCAAATCCATTGAGCTACCTTTGTGACTTTGCACAACTGACTTGGTTTTTTTAGTCTAAAATGAGGTGTTTACTACCTTACAGGTTGTTGGGATTAAAGAAACCTGCTGGAGGACCCACCACTCACTGAGGCCCTCGCATACATTAAGTGCTCACGCTCTCCATGACTGCCTGCCGCCACACTGGGTGGCCATGTGCTGGTCAGCAGTGTTCTGTCTGAGTGCTGGGGGTGAGGATGCTGGGAGACCACGCTGGGCCTTGGCCTGTGTTCGCCGGCCCTCGTTGGCTAGGTAACACGCCTTTTCTTTCAATAGGGATGCAGAGTTGATTTGATTCTATTTCCTCTGGACACCAGCCCACTATCGTCCACAGGGGAGGGTTCCCTGGCTTGCATTTTGCTCCGTCCTGTTTTCAGGCATCCTCCTTGCACAAGTGCCTGGTCTCTTGTGTTTGACACATTTTCACTCTATCCTGGGAAAATGAGGTGGTCCTTCGCATGAGATAGGTTTGCCATTTACAGTTAACTGAAAGTTCGCCGCGCTGTGCTTCAGCCTTTGTCAGGACGGCTTTCCTTTCGCTCAGCGTGGTAAGCCTAGTTCGTTGCTCCCGACTGCTGTGAGGTGTCCACAGAATGTGTCCCCACATGGCACTCGCCTCTCGAGCTGACCCACTCCCAGCCCGTAACCACACCAGCCCAGCACTAGGGTGCACCTTGTTTGTATCCCTACCCTTTTCTTTTTCAGCTTTTCACCTGTGGGGCCCAGTGAGGATAGTATGCTTGCTGACCTATAAAATACTCCATTCATTTATTCTGCTTTCAGGCTTCAGGAGGAGACACCTTCTTAGTTCTGATTCTGGGATTGTGAAACAATTCACTATCTCACCTCTATCTACATCACAATTTTATAAAATTTAGAAGGTTCTATTGGGAAGGCAAAAGAGATGTAAATATCTATAGTTGAATGAACAAATCAAGAAACATGACAAATGTAATTATTTGGCGGGGGAGCTTCTCTGTAGCATAGGAAAGAATGGAGATTTCTGGTAGTTATTTCCTGGTCGTCTTGGGCATTTGTCTGTTCCCCTTCACTAAGTGCAGTGTTTCCCATTCTGTCTCACATACTTGGGGTCATTTGGGCTTCCGGGCCCATTCCCACCCAGTGATGTGTTGCCAGCTCAGCCCATTTTGTTCCTTTCATAGCCACGTGTTCTTTTCCTGATGTCTCTTGCTTATCGCATTGGAGAAGCGGCTGGAACCTGCCAAACAAAGACACATTCCTTAAGGCCTAGGGAATACTGGTATCCTTAACTTCACGCTTGGATTCTTTAAATTTCCCTACTTACAATATACTGTTTTTTTTTTCAAATTTTTATTATTCATAGTTCTTTTTATTATATCTAGAATTAATCCAAATTAACCCCAAAGTAATTGTTTTTGCTGGATACAAATTTGTAATCCAGTCCCCATGGATAGTTCCAGCCATTGCCTGTGGTCTTTGGACACAGCTAGTTGTCTGCCTTTATGGCGGGGACCAGAGCAGTGGTATGAGAGGCTCTCCGTCAGCACTAAGCTGGCACTGGCTGCTCCGCTGGCTGGCCATGACTTCGTGGACTCTTGTCTCCTGGGAGTAACGTCAGGGCCCCGTGGCCCTTGCTCATGTGTGTGTGTCTTCAGCTTGAGACATCCACACTCAATTGGTTGTGGTGATGCTAGCACAGCTGTGGATCTAAGAGCCAGTGAATTGTGCGTTCTAACGGTGTGAACTGTATGGTACGTGAATTACATCACAACAAGGTGTTTTTGTTTTTGGTTTTGTTTTTTAAAGACTGGGTTAAAAGTGAGAGAACATAACCTATTCCCTCTCCGTGCACAGGACCGACGCCCCTGGCGGCGGTGCTGGTGGTTGGCACTGCGTGTCTACGGACCGGATGCAGGCTTGGTTTATTCCTTCTGTGGTGCGGGGTGTGAATCTGTGTTTCAGTGAGGATCGGGGGCTTTCATGCACCGTTTTTTCCTCCACTGTGAGGTGTAGGTAACACTCTGATTTTACAGATAAGGAAATAGACTCAAGGAGTCTATTTTTTTTGAAGAATCTTGAAGCCAGGGATGGCGGTTTCTGGTCCAATGTTCAAAATATTGGAACGTACTTGTACAGAACCCTGGGCATCATCTCCTCCTAAAGTGCATACTCAGTGGGCTGTAAAGATTTACTCAAGTCCATGAAATTTACAGCATTTCTGAAAGAATCTTGTTCTAAATCTAGAAATACATGGGCTTTAGCATTTACATTAATGTTACATGCATGATACACATGAGTAACGTTACATATATGAAAGGACATATCACCTTTTCTTGCCTAGAATGTGAATGAATTTTGCCCCCTGTCAATTTTGCTTATTTGTGGATTCACAATTGTTAAGCTGCTCTCCTCCACCTCAGTTATTTATAAACTCTTCTAGGATCTCATTGGACCATCTTAATTTGGAATTCAAAATCCATATGCAGGAGCCCTGCTGTGTTGCCAACTCAGCGTGCAAACTTTTTTGCAAGATAATTTCTGTAAGTCTAGAGACATTTGTAAGTCCTTTGAGGAATATGCATTTCATTTAGCCTCATTTGTAATCACTACGTTAGGACATCAAAATTGATGGAGATTGAGAAGATTTGGTTAGCTTGTTAATACTGCTGCAAGCATTTGAATGTTCACATAGTAATTTATTGATCACTGGTGGGCAGGACCTGGGTGCTCAGGGATGTATGATGGGACTCCTCTGTGGTATATGCATCAGGAACTGACAGGCAAGGAAAAACCTTTCTCCTAGTAGTACATGCTAGTCACGACCATGCTGCAAAGTCAAACTTTCAACTTCAAAAAACCTTTTAGTATAAACTTTGCTGAGTAAACATGATACATTTCTTTTGAAGAAAGAATCCCTTTATATTTCGCATATACCTAAAACTACACAAAGAGCATTCAGACTACATTAATAACATTAAATCTGTTTCCTAAATCTTTAATGTTGATTTCATTGAATATGATCTTTACATCCTGAATTCAAGACATTTGTTATATTGCTCCTTTATCCTTTATAATTGACCACATTTGATATTCTGTCCTTGAGTACCATTTTCACCTGAGGAAATGTGTCTCAGACATGTTGCCCTACCCAAGCTTACTTGTCTTCTAAAACAGCAACCGCAAATGTGGGAAATAAGACTCTATAAAGGTGAGGGATTTGAGGGGTTTTTTTTTTCTCTCACCTGAGGATATGTTCATTGATTTGAGAGAGAGAGAGGGAATGTTGATGTGAGAGAAACATTGATCAGTTGCCTCCCACGCGTCCCCGAACAGGGGATCCAACCTGCAGCCCAGGTATGTGCCCTGACGGGATGGAACCCGCAACCTTCTGGCGTGCAGGACGAAGACGTTCCAAGCCACCAAGCCACCTGGCCAGGGCTTGGATTTTTTCTGAAGAGATTTTTATAATGCTTAGTGCCAGACAAAGAGAATATTAAATTGACAGTAAATGGAAACTTTAGTGAGAAGAGTGAATTGATTTTACAGTTTTGCAATTATCTTTCATATCCAGCCTCACAAAAGATGACTGGGTTGTCATTCTCTGCCTCAGATATGACATGTGTCGTGCAGACACTGGAAACACCACTGAAACTTAATAGGAGGAAGGACAAGGCTGAAAAGTGTAGATACTATCACAGTATTATTATAAAAATAGCTTTGATTTGTCAACCCCCTTGAAAGGGTCTCTGGAAACCCAGGGGTTCCCAGATCACACGTTGAGAACCAGTGCATTACACCTAAATGTGCCTCAGTACCCAGGGTATAAGTGTTTTGGCTGAATACTAAGTGCTCCTTAAAAAATAGTGTTTCCTCAAGTAAATCCCAGCCTGGTGTGTAGAAGGAGCAGTGACTGTGTGGTCAGAGACTGGGGTACCCTCTTGCTTCCACCCTGGTAGTCCTTCACCTTTGCCAAGCTTGTTTTTCCCTGTCTCAAGTTCCTCACCTATAATAGGGCCAGCTACAAATCCCTTGCAGAGACATGGTAGGAATTCCACAAAGTATGAGACAAGGTGCCTTACAGGTGCCGACACCCAGAAGGCAGGACACCTGATCGGGGTAGTGGTTAGTGTGCTTGGCCAGTGACGGCCAGGGAAGGAAGGAGAGGGGCCATGTTTGGCAAAAAGGGAAGGAAAAGAAGGCCAACGGGGCCAATCCACAAACGCTGATCTAAGAGCTGGATAGATGTTGAAAGGCAGATGTGTTCAGAGGCACATAAATTTGGGGTTTTAAAACATTAATACTGTGCCTGTACTGTACGTAACGCTAGACCTCCATGGGTCCTAGAGAGCCCTCTGACAAGCACATTACTCTCTCTGGGGAGGAACATACTCCCCTCACACCAAGGCCT